TAGTGAAGCACCTACCATATTGTTAAGCACCTACCGGAGGTGCCCTCTTTAATCATGTGAACTGGCCTCCTTGTAATTCGCAAGAGATAATATAACCTTGGAGATATTCCTTCATTGATTTTGTCACTTTAGGGATGCCAGTTCCTTTCCTTCATTAATCTTGTAAAATAGAAGCATCCCCTACAGACTAGATCTGGTCCTAATGACCTTTTATAAAGGTCAGCTCCTACAACAACTTTTTTTGGTTCTTTCTGCACCATGGCGCATATGCACCTCAGGGAATCCTTTTAACTCATGTATTTACATCCTCAAAATGAATGACAACGAATTTGTTTCTTTTTGCGATCTCAATTACATCTGTGCCACATTACAATTATCTTTTTCTTACCTCTATTTCCTTGTCATTCTATTTCAACCATTCCATATATATATATATATATATATATATATATATGAATATATATATATATATATGTATGTATGTATTGGCAAAAGGTTTCTATATTATCTTGGTCCATTGTCCAAATAGGCTCGCTAAAATCTTAGCTTACACTAGGGGTATCAATGGATATTTGATAAACCGACCGAACCGTACCGCACCGAACCGATTCTTAGGTTTCTTTTGTTTTTATATAAATCTATAACCATGCCGATAATTAGGGTAGGTTTTTTATTTTATAAAAATAAACTGAAAAAATACCGAACCGTACCGAATAAATTTTACATGTGAAAAATATATTGATATAGTAAGCTTAAAACTAATAAAGCATTAAATTTTTCATTAAGCCTTAAATTATGAAAACTGTTACAAGCCAACAAGTAATTAAACTCAAAATACTAATTCCTAAAACCTATTATCCTACTTATAGTTAAACTAAGTTATTTCAAGTATCTTTATTAAGAAGACACAAAGTATTCCAGCGATTATGAGTAGCAAACTATAATATATTGAATATGTTTCCTTTCATATAATTTAGATTTATCTTTTTGAATATTTAATATAGACTTTATTCTCAGGTCTCAGCTTGATTAATATCTTTCCACTCTGTGATTTATATATTTTTTTTTTTGTTTTTACTTGGTTTCTTTTACGTTGCTGTCGAATAGTTGATGTGGATTAGTGTTGAGGTGCGCACATACTAGGTGACCGGTGTGTGGGCGTGCACCGTGTAAATTGTAATTCTGTTAGTTTTGTGGTACTGTGTAGTTACCCGTATCTTACCTGTAACCATGAAACCTTCTACGTTCTTGGGCTATTGAGTTGTGATCCATGTTAGAAACCATGTCTAGGCTACATGCTTATCCTGTTGGGACACATTGAGGTCATTTCTGGTGTTGAGTTATCTGCTTTGGTTGCTTTATATACTCAGTCATACGCATTCATATGCATATCATATCTCAGTCTCTGTTGTTATTTATTGACACATCATATCATTATTTTGGGCTAGTTTCATGGCATTGTGAGCCCGAGAGAGAGAGAGACTTGAGAGATTGANCATGTTTGGTTGGCTTAAATGTTTTGGAAAACATTTTCGTTATGAACTCATTTTCCTCCAATTGGAGGAAAATGTTTTTCTTATCAAGAGAAGGGAAAACATTTTTCAAAACTCCTTCTCAACCTTCCCCATCCTCACCAACCCACTCCACCTAGGGGTGTTCATAAAAACCCGAAAAATCGAACCGAACCAAACCGACAAAAAAAAACCGATACTTTTTAGGTTTGGTTTGGTTTTGGTTTTGAATTTTAAAAACCGATAAAAATTGGTTTGGTTTTGGTTTTAATCAAAAAATAACCGGAAAAAAACCGAACCAAACCGACTATAAAAGTAGCTATTTAAATTTATTATTACACCTATATATATGTATATTTTTATATAAAGTTTCTAAAATTTTATGGTACATATTAGTCATTTATATTTTTAGTCTAGTTCTTTGCTATTATAATCATCTAATTCTTTGCCTTTACATTCTAGTTTGCTTGGTAGTTTTCTTTTACTAAGTACAAGAATTTATTTCATGTTAAAAATAACCGATTTTTAATTGAGTACTTAAATTATTCATCACTATTTGATTCAAATATCATCAATATATCTTGGTAAATGATAGATTTCTCAAAGACCAATTGATTTGACAGTGTTACGTTGAAAATGTAGTCGCCGGAATATGCATTTGGTAGTGTATGTATCATATTTAAGAAAAAAACCGATAAATAACCCAAAAAACCGAAAAACTGAAAAAAAAAACCGACAAAAACCGAATCGATAAAAAACCGACCTAGTTGGTTTTGTTTGGTTCTAATATTTGAAAAACCGACTTACTTGGTTTGGTTTCTTTTTAGGGAAAAACCGACCCAAACCGAACCATGAACACCCGTAACTCCACCCCCTCTCCAAAAAAGGTTTTTTTTTTCAAATTTTAGTTTTTCCGTTACCACCCACCCTACTACCCCTCCACTCCACACCCCACCAAAAAAAAAATTCTTTTTTTTTGCAATTTCAAATTTCTGTTTTTTCGTTTTTCTGCACCACCCCCCTCCCCGAAAAAAATATTTTTTAAATATATTTTTCAGTTTTAATTTTTTATTTATCGGTTTAAAGGTTCAAAATTTTACAAGTTCCATGAGTTCGAAGGTTTATGTGTTTTAAAGTTTACGGGTTCGAAATTCCGCGGTTTTGAAAGTTTAGCGGTTCAAAAGTTTATAAAATTTGTAGGTTCGGAAGGTTGTTGGTTTGAAAGTTTATGGCTTCATGTTTATTATATCTAAATTATTTATGAATACTCTTGGAAGTCATTTTCCTTAATTTGCGTACCAAACACCGGAAAATGAATAAGATTACTACTTGTTTTCCAAAAAAATATTTTCTTGGAAAACATTTTCCACGGAAAACATTTTCTTGGAAAATATTTTCCACGGAAAACATTTTCCGTTATACCAAACACACCCTTATTCTTTGGTTTTTGTGTCTTCCTTTCCTTCAGTCACTAATTATGTTATGGACCATATTGATGAACATACAAGCTCAAATCTTGATGTTAGAGAAGTACGAGTGGAGGTCATGTTTTCTACAACAATGGAGGCTTATTGGGCTCATGAAGGTGCCAATGGATTTGGAGAATTTCGCCATGAATTTAAAATACTTACACTAATTAGCCTTAGTCCAATTGAGGCCAAAGAATCTCAGAAATTGAAGAAGTCCAAGAATGCTTTCGCTAGTTTTGTGAAAAACTTTAGCGGGGTGCTTTTGTTTTTCTCTCTTCTTTGTGCGTGAGAGGTGCAAAACCTTGAATGTACATCACATATCCTTTCTTAGCAAATGTAAAATACATCCATCCACTCTCCAAAGATATACAAAGCCCATTTACCTTTCAACTATTGGCAGGCCCATCTATCATTTTAAATTTCAAATTCTAACTAGAACTTGATATGCGTCCATATGATGTCTATTTCTTAGCAACTGTCTACATCAGGAGAGAATGCATCTCTCATTCCAGCCAACTTAGCTAGGATGGTGAGCGACATTACCCACCACACCCAAGGGCAAAAATTCCAGTTTGTGTAAATAATCAACTGGAGTTGTACAGTAAACTTTGTTAATTTAATTTATTTATTTATTTTTGATAACCTAGAAGTTATCGAGGGCTATGGGTCTTAATTTGAATTTATATAGAAAGAGACAAACAGAAAATTAGAACCATTGTCCATTCAGCGAGGACACATGCGGGACCATATATTACCTTTTCTTTATTAAAAATTTAAAAAAAAAAACAGTTTGACTGGCTAGAGTTAAAGTAGGTCCCCTGAAACTAGAAATTGAGTACAGCTGTCTAATTCACTCTTTTACGAAGGTGGACGCTAGTTTTTGGAACAAAAGAAATGTGGACATTATCCAAGAGGGAGAGAGTCATTTTCTATGCAAAAGCCATCTACTCATCTATGCTGGGTCAGTTACATGAAGCATGGGATATTTTGTCTAACATGAGTTAAGGGAGAGTATCTTAATTTTATCACATCCTACTTAAGTATCTTAGTTGATCTTGCATAATCAAACATGGCCATGTGTCTGTTCAAGAATTGACGCATCTGTAAGACAATAAATGCTAAACACACACATGAAAAAACGAGGGAAAGCAGTGGTTAGGAGAAGAAGAAAGAAGAAAAAGTCTAGCAATGATTGCTACAAGTTAATCACCATTGTTAACTAGACTTTTAGTTGCACCTCCCTCTATGATTCCTTGCTGATGAACTAAAGTGTGACAACACAAGTAAATCAGAAAATGTCACTCATCTCAATTGATCAGGCATCATGCTGCTATATATCAAAGCAACATTTTAGGGACATAAAAAGACATGTAAACACTGGTGCAGATGAACACAAATCTCTTTGTTTAATAGCTAATATACCAACAATAAAACCTTGAATGCAACTATCACTTATTCAATTATCAGAAAAATCCTTTAATGGATGTTTTTGACTTTTCTGTTTCTTTTGTCTTGTTTTGTCTATTTCTTTAATAGCATGTTTGGCCAAGCTGCAAAAATCAGCTTATTTTGAGAAGTGCTTTTTCTCAAAATTAGTTTTGGTGAGAAGCAGTTTGTGTTTGGCTAATTAATTTGAAAAGCACTTCTGAGTAGCAATTAGTGTTTGGCCATGCTTTTATAAATTGCTTCTAAGTGTATTTTTTTCAAAAATGCTTTTGGAGAGAAGCTACCTTTTTCTGCTTCTCCAAAACTACTTCTGCTTCTACTCAAAACTCAAAAGTACTTTTTCTCTTCCAAAAGCTTGGCCAAACACTTAAACTTTGAAAAAATAGCACTTTTTCGAAGAAAAAAAAAAGTGCTTCTAGGATTGGAGAAGCTTGCCAAACAGGCTATT